TATGTGTGGTGTCGTCGCATAGAGAATTTTACATGCATATTAAGAAAATAATTAAATATACTTAAATAATATTGCCATATGAGACGATGGGGACTGTTCGAGAGTTAGAGTAGTAAGGGTAAAATTGAAAAAGAAAATACATTATAGTATTGCAAAACATTGTAAAAAACATAACAGATAAACAGAAGGAAAAAAAATCTACATTGCCATATAATTTGGAACGAGAATAGTTAAGTAGCTAGTGTTCGCACGAGTATAGCTCAATTGGTTTCAGGTTGCTAAGTTGCTACAAGGTCATAAGATCGAGTACTGATAGTCGTAATATGGGAATTTCAATTTCAATGAAGATTGGTTCCTTGTATGCACGAGACTCAGGTCCGCTGTCCTAATTGACCGTGATTTATATTTTTTCATAAAAAAAAACTTGTCGGACGAGGAGATGGGGCCTGCCTTTTGGTGCAAGTAATTAAGTAGCTACTAGATTTAAAAAAAATAAAAATTTGTAAGTAGCAACTAGTGTGTATCACATCCATGCCTTCAAATAATCTTTTAATAATGAAAAAAAAAAAGGAATATAAATAAATATGCTCTTGGGATCTTCCAGCTGCATAATACTAATTCATGACATGAACGTTGTTTTTGCCTTGCCGGCATACAGGGTTACAGCTAAGACACAATTATTAATTATTAATTAATGCTTAATCCTTCTTAATCCCACAACTAAACAAACTACTTAACCAAAACTCACATAACATGTGGAATCCCATATTCTTGTCCTTTTCTTCACGCTGTAAGCGCGTGGACTCTAGTCGCCAACAAAATAATAATAAATGTATGGGTAAATTACAATCACCCCCTTAGATATGGTCAATTTACAAAAAACCCCTCTTGTTTGGATAATGACATCCACTCCCTCAATTATGATTTTTTCTTACACCTCCACCCTTATGGTGTCAAATTCAACATAATCATATAGATTCCGTGGAATATGCTTTAGTTTGTACTCATTTTGTGTAAAAATACCGTTTCTGATGCATCACAATCTGATATATGCAAGCCAAAAAACACATATTATGATCATCTTGCTTCAAAATGTGGAGTTCGAATATAAAAAAACGGGTAAAAAAGTGATAATATTTCATACAATCTACAATATTTCACTAAATTTTATAGTTGAGGGGTGGTTGTAATTACTCAAACAAAAGAGGGATTTTTGTAATTTGACCATACCTCAGGGGTTGGTTGTAGTTTACTCTAAATTTATTGAATTTATTTTTTCTGGCCAAACAAAAATAAAGCGCCGCAATGTGTGTTAAAAGCGCATCCCAATTAGCCAGCTGGCTGAATTCATTTGGTTGGTTGGTTAAAATTTTGTATTTGTGGCTGGTAATTGCGTGATTAGCGTTTGCTAATTGCAGTTAGTGGCACGTGCTCACGTGTCGTCATGTGAACGTCTTTATTCAACTTTGATTAGCTAAGCAACACGCCGTCCATAGTCGGCCCAAACCCCCACCCAACCTCTCTCCTCTCGCCACGTGTCTCACTCCCAGCTCAACTATTCTCCTAATCTTAACTTTAACGGTAATATTTAACAAAAGGTAATCCATATTCATATGCTGTACTAATTAAGAAAGTTTAATAAATAGCCTTGATTAATTTAGGAGAAAAAACTCTTATTTGACAAAACTACCCTCTTGAATTTTACAATTTCTTTTTATTATATCGTAGATCTTTCATCAGTGCTAGGATAAAATTGGAGGAAAAAAATGACACTTAATAAGAAATGGAGGGAATATTATAATCCTAGTGAAGCACATAAATTTCTATAAATAGAAAGTAAACGCAATGGGTGCTGATGAATGAAGTCGAGCTTCTGTTTAATACTATTTGACATTTTCTAATCGAATTTTGACTAATTAAATTTTATTCGATAAGCAATCGAACATAGAAGAGCCGAATTCAAGCGAAATTTTATGTCTAAGTTAAGTTTGTTAATTGATTTTTAACTAGCAATCTCAAATTGATTAATTTGAATTTAATAAACGGCCGTCAAGTCGTACAGAAGAGGAATAGCCAAAGAAAGATTCTTTGCATAAAGACAATAAAAACACCAAAAATAAAATAAAATAAAATAAATACGTGGCACAAATGCTAACATACACCGAACTCTATTTTATTTTAGTCAATTTTTTTTTCCTATATAAATAATATCTCCAAGCAAAGCATTTTTTAACTGGAGTTGAAAGCCAAGAAAAAAAAAAATTCACAAATCTTCCGATCAAATTTCTTTCACCATTTTTCTCTCTCTTCAAATGGCGGCAGCGTGGACAAGGGGTCCCACCATCGGCCGCGGCTCCTCCGCGTCGGTGTCACTCGCCACCACCGCCGGCGGCGAAGTATTCGCCGCCGTCAAGTCTACTGATCTCTCTTCCTCTGCTTCGTTGCAAAAGGAGGGAATTTTGATCTCTCAGCTTTCTTCTCCTTATATAGTCAAGTGCTTAGGCTCCGACATCACGTGCGAGGAAAGCGGGCACGTGTACAATCTCTTCCTCGAGTATCTCCCCGGCGGCACGCTTTCCGACCGGATCAAGAAACAGGGCGGGTCACTTGATGAAACCGCGATTGGGAAGCACGCGCATGGAATACTCATGGGTTTGAATTATCTTCATACGAAGGGATTGGTGCACTGCGATATCAAAGGGGAGAATATTCTCCTCGGCGAAAACGGGTCGGTGAAGATCGCGGATTTCGGGTGCGCGAAACGGGTCGGGTCCGGCGGGTCGGGGTTTTCCGGGACGCCGGCGTACATGGCGCCGGAAACCGCGCGCGGCGAGGAGCAGGGTTTCGCGGCGGATGTTTGGGCTCTGGGGTGTACGGTCGTCGAAATGGCGACCGGGTCCCACCCCTGGCCGGAGATGAAGGACCCCGCCGCGGCCCTTTACAGGGTCGGGTTTTCCGGGGATGTCCCGGAAACGCCCGCCTGGTTCTCCGGCCAGGCCCGAGATTTTCTAGACAACTGTTTGACGAGAGACCCCAGAGAGCGGTGGACGGCGGCCGAGCTTCTGCGGCACCCGTTTATGATCGCCGCCTCCGCGGAGGAGGGCTCCGGGGAGGTGATCGGAGAGTTCGCGAAGCGGGCTTCACCGACGAGTGTGATGGATCAAGATTTCTGGGATGCTCTGGAGGTGCCGGAAAACCCGATGGAGATTTCTTCGGATTCGGATTCTCCGGCGGGAAGGATCATGGATTTGATCGGAGATGGGTTGAGTTACGGAGGTTGGACGGAGGAGGAAGGGTGGTTGACGGTGAGGGGTGATGAAACTGAAGAAGATTTGACGGCGGAAGCAGAGTCTGTTAATTTCTCGGTTTTAACGGAATATTCTTTTTCCGATTGTTTTGTTACACACACTGAGTGTGTGAAAGATTTAGATGTATTATTAACAATTACTATTGATTATGAAATAATTATGTTATTAATTGAATTATTTCTTCACCACGATCAACTTTCCCTACAATTTGTTCAAACTAAAAGAAACACTAATTTATACGTAAATTTTTTTTTAAATGAGATTAATTTGACAAAGTTTTATAAGTATACACACTACATAAAACACTATACAAAATCTAACGCTGCACCAGTTGAATATGACTATATACATCCCACTCGATTTTGTTACTGCGGATATTTAGTATTCTCTCTCGTTTTGACACGATAGAAATTAATTTATGGTATTGTCATTGATTTTGACAAAAAATACTTATTTTAATTTTGTTAATGTTGGAATAAATTATGTTTCTAGGGAGATTGAGAGGGCAAACTAAGAACGACTAGTTAGTTATTAGTTGAGTTTGGTAGTAGACTTGTAGCTACTAAAAAATGACATTTCGTTAAGTATACATATTAATAAAACTAATAAATACGAACGAATCTTAGAAAAAAAGTATATATATAATATGAATAAAAATATTCATGCTCTCTGCAATCCTCGAGCAGCGTGTTAAGAAACTAATAAATACATACATGAATTTTAGAAAATAAAACAATGACATACATGAATGTATCAATTGAGTAGAATGGAACCAAAACAATAAATAAACTAATTAAATAAATATTTTTTGTTTAAAATAAATATGAAATAGAATAAGTAAAAGTTAAGAAAAGTAAACCATAGCCCATTGGGACAATCAAATACCATTAGGTGTGAACATGGAAGACTTGAAGCAAAGCACCTATAAAGGTTGATGAAGAGTCAACTACTAGAAAAAAATCCAACCTTTACAAAGTCAACCATTTTAATCATCAAAATAAATTAAAAAAGTTTAGGTCAATAATGCAAACTTTGAACATTTAAAAGTCAACCAACTAACAATCTTTGTTATCGTCACCCACCCCATTATATTATTGTTTTTATTTATGACGTGGCCCTTTGAGTATTTGGATTTTAGCAAACTTTTTTATTAGCCAATGAAAAGCAAGAACGAGACAAATGTACGAATATTCTTTCACCATCTTTATTTATTATTTATTTTTTATTTAAATAAAGTATTGGATATTAGGTTTAGGCTTATCCTAATCCAATAAAGAGAGGGTAGTACAAAGAAGAAATCATAATTATTATTCTCGTATAGGTATAATGGATTCCACCATTATACTTATCCATATAATGGAATTCAAGTACAATAAATTTGGTTATCAACAAAGAATTTAAATTGTTAACTTAATAGAAAAATAATAATTTTAATTTAATTGTGATATGCTGAATTGGACTGATCCAGTAAGCTAATGAGTATTTGGTCTACCTAAAATGTTGGTTCTAGGGATGTAAATCATGGTAACTCAACGGCTCTTTAAGGTAGCAGACTGGGACTTGGTACCCACAATGAACCAACCCTCATTAGAGTTGAAATTCCCACACTGCAGTTGTCAGGATTCGATGCTAGGACATTGTACCAACTTACCACCCCGAAACCAGTTGAGTTACATCCATGCGGGGACCATTAGAATTTACTAATTCTATTTAGAGTTACTCTTTAATTAAAGATACCCTAACTTAACTAAACAACCTTCCAATTCATTTTTACAAGGTACGTTGTGATCGATTTCGTCAATTCTATAGAGTTCTTGGGTTCTACCTGTCTCTTGGTCCAGACATCTGATTTAGGCGTTTGAAGGGTTTCCACTGGATCAACCACGACTTAGTTCATCCCTCTTGATTTTACAGATTTGAGACTCAGATGTTCATCTCTACGTGGTAGCATCGTAGCGACTCCTACCCATATCATCATCTACACGAGTTCATCAACCTACTTATTGTACGGATTAAGATTTAGAATTTGCAAAGTATGATAATCTCATAGGAAACTTTACTAAAAGTAACAAAACAAAATATAAATATTTCTCAAAAAAATAAAAATAATATAAATATATGTGTGTGTGTGTGTGTGTGTGTGTGTATTAGTGGAAGATTAAATTTCGGCGCTCTTTATTTAGGACCATGCAAATTGTGGGTTTGCGAATCCTATGAAGCACGCTTTTTAATTTCAGTTTTCCACTTGTTATAGTGCGCGCATATATTCAAATCTTTACTACATATTTTATTTGTCGCGTTTCAATTATTATTATTATTATTATTATTATTTATGTCTGAATAAGAAGGTAAAAGCGCTATTGTATTCGGCCCACTTTTAGCATATGTTCACCACGCTTTGTCCCCATTTTCATTTTTCTTCCTTTCACTAACCACAAAATCGAACTATGTGTCTTAACCACGCTTTATCACACTAATTACAATTGTTTGTGTAATGTAACCCAGTTTATATCTGAATCATATGCTCGAAAATGTTCGTATCCATGTACCAAAACCGTTATCCTAAAGTGTTATAGTAGTTGTTGTTTATGTTAAAAAATAATTTTTTTTTGTAATTGGATAAAATATAATCTAAATTATATATGTATATATATATTGCAATTTTATGTTATGCTTTCAACTAGACAATATTGGCAAGTACAATTGACAGTCACTCAGTGAGGAACTTGTTTCACTGCCATCAAGTACAGAAAAGACATAAAAGAAAATCATAATCTAAAAATATCTTACTTTGTAATATATGTTATATAATTAGGAGACCATAAAATTTTAATTTCTGTAACTTGTCTAATTTTCATCTCTCTTTTTCCTATCAAAAATCCAACAATAATGGCTTTTTCATTACTGTAAATTATTGTCCCCCCGAAGCCTGATGCCACAGATTTCATTCACTGTCACGAATCCAAAACATGTATAATATAAAAAGAAAAATCTTAATTAAAATTATTGACAATCCAATTTTCTCATTTTCAAGCCGAATCAGTTTTTCGAATTTTGCCTCAATATTTTATTTGGAACAATATTTTTCATTCCGAATTCCAAAATTTTAACGGAATTGGAATACACATTAGATTAAAATAATCTCAATTCTCAAGTACAAATATCACTTTTAATCATCATAAATTAAACATAAACTTTGATCACTAATGTGTTTTAAACTTTCAGTTTAATTTGCAACCATTGATAATTCTTCATCTGCTTAATTAGCTTTCTAATTAATTTATTTTGCAAGTTTTCATTTGAAATTATTGCAATAATAACAGTACAATTATTAAATAAACCAATATAGACTGTAACAAAATAATTAAATTAATAAGGAGATTAAACAAATGTAATATATAGATTTTTATTTAGGTACAAAAAGAACAAGAGAGCTTCTTTGTTTAATTAAGGAAATCCACCTCCTATTCCACCACCAGACCCTCCGCCAAATCCACCACCAATCCCACCACCCAATCCACCGCCACCTCCATAACCCCCTCCTCCACCACCACCCCCACCTAAGCCAGACCCACCACCAAAACCACCACCAGATCCTCCTCCAAATCCAGAACCACCACCAATTCCTCCTCCATATCCACCGCCACCACCACCTCCGATCCCTCCACCGCCGCCAATGCCACCCCCAGAACCACCACCAAAGCCGCCACCACCACCATAACCGCCTCCGCCAAATCCGGGATAGGGAAAGAACGTCTTTTCGTCGTCCAAATATCCCTTTGATCCGGCGGCAAGCTCCCTAGCGTCGATGGCAGCCGTGCAGGCAAGAGCAGAGAGAAGAACAAGTAGATAACATTTTGAAGCCATGTATATTATTTTCGAAATGTGAAATAATTAAGTGAAATATAGGGATTTATATACTAGTGATAATAAATGGATCCTCTCATTTATTATTTAGATTGTTGAGACTGTTTCATTAATGCAACTACTCATTTCTTTTCAAAAGAAAATCTAGCTCCTGCATGTATATATATATATATATATATATATATATATATATATAGGTAGAATTAAAACATACAATGCAACAATCACAACTAATTGAGAATTGTACAATTGCAATTGACCAATGGAAACTTCACCCTATTAATACTGACCAATTTTCTGAACTATAGATATACAATTGAAATATACCATCGAAATCTTTGAATTCAACTCCAATCTTCAGACAAGTAACAATTATCCTATGATACGATATAATATAATTCTATTTTAATCAATTGCATGCTCCATTAATGGACAGAAAACAACTGGTTCTTGTGGAAATCAGTGGCTGAATAATATTGCACATATTCTTTCGTCGGCTCTTCAAATCAATATAATTTACAATTGCATGCTTATAAAATTGTCCAATCGTTTTCGACCGAACCTGAAGGTTTTTCCGACGGAGAGGCGGCGGGTTTTGGGGGCTTTTTCGAAAATAATGAAAATGTTTGGCGACCGGAGTTCTCCTCGGTATTTGTCGAGTCTTTGGAGGGAGTTTTTGACGAGGATTTATTTTTGCCGCCGAAAATTAAGCTAAGTCTCTTGAAGCGGTTTCTCATTTCACCTGCAGCTGCGGTTTCTTCAGGCTGAATGGTGACATTTATCACTTCGTCTTTATTAAGTAGCATTGTCTCCACTGTTTCATAAACCTGTAACGAAATATACGGAATATTTCTGAGATCAAAACACACGATAACCTTAGAGTGGATTTTATTGGTTTGGTAGTGCTGACACAAATTTAAATTGAACTGCGTGTAAGAAAAACCTGGCATATGTCATCAAGTTTCTCGATCCAGGAGTGGCCTTGACAAGTGACAACAACGTAGTTCCTGCACTCGTTGAAAAAACTCGATAGATTCGAGTTCGTGGAGAGGGTGACATCAGCAATTACAAGCCCTGAGCCCAACTGAAATTTCGCAACAGAAATTAGTGGAAATTAAAGAAGAATAATAGTGCTCACGTGTTCTAGAAGGTTTTTATTTATTTTTCCGAAAAAAGAAAAAGAAAAGAGCACTTACAACAGCAATGAAGAGCTGCTTGAAAAGATCAGAAGGTGGGATTGTGTCCAAATAATCCAGAATACCTTCCCTACACGAAAATGTTGCATTATTGCTTGATTTTACGACGAAGAGTTCAGGTTATTATGAAATTGCTGCTTTAAGTGAGCTTACACAGCCAGGTCTTCGTCATAAAGAGGAGACTGTCTGACAGCTGGTACTGGTTTTGATGTTTCCCACAGTTCACGCCATAAATTTCCTGCCATGGGGAGATCAAGAAACTCGTCACTTATATATATATATATATATATATATATATATATATATATATATATATATATATATATATATATATATATATATATATATATATATATATACATATATATGTATGAAATCGCCTGAGTGTTGCATTTCACTCATATCATAGAAAGACGCACAGGGATATGAGCCCCGTATAATCTCGCAGCCAAAAGATTCATCCACAATAAGACAAAATATGTTTAGCTAACATGATTGCGCTCTTAAACTATGTATTACCTTCTTTTTGCATTCGCCTACTAAGTTGGCCTTTCCCGGATGACATATCGCCAGAGTCAGAGGTATCATCTAACTCACTGGTAGCTTCATTTTCCGACCAGTCAGGAGGAGAGTGCCATCTTACAAAATCTTCTAATATGCAACCCGGATTTGCTGCCTGACAAGAATAACCCGGCAAACTAGGTATTAATTTTCATAACATAAGCCAGATAGGTAGTCATCAAATATATATATATATATATATATATATATATATATATATATATATATTGCACAGCGTCACACATTGAAACTTCACCTTGAAGGCCTGCATGTCTGAAAGCAGTTGGGAGCACCCTGCTCCGACACTGAACAAATAAAAGCAGGCATCTTATGTCAGCATATTCGTTCAGAAACAGAGGAGAAATAAAAGCTTCAACATAACGCGCTTTACATGTTTAATGGCAATGTCTGACTAAATCCAATTGAATCTAAACTAAGTCCCTGTTGATACATTATAAAAATTCAAGTATCACAGGATGTAGTGACGACTCCTGCAGGTTAAAATATTCACCAACGTAGCACTTATCTTTATTGATCGATATAATTTTCTATCAAGGATTTGGTGGTGATCAGATATAAGTTCTTTAAAAGCGAGAATCTGAGGAAAAGGGATTTATTTCAAGATTATCTCAGAACAATGGCGAAAATCCGATCTAATAAAAGCAACCCATTGAGGCATGAGAAAACATATGCTAAATTAAGAAGTTACTAAAGTTCAATAATTATGTTATAGTATTAACTATTAAGGGATCAATTGCAAACAACACAACAAGTTGCCCAAAAACAACTTAAGTCAAACGATATATTCATATGTAAATTTGCTGACCTTCCGGTTCTTAGTACAAACTCCTCTGTCTCCTTGATAAGGTCTTCAGTTAGCAAAGGCGGTTCCTACAAGTAGAATTGACACTAAGCATGTGTGAGATGTTCTAGACATAATTTCTCTATCTTTTAGGATCTACGTTTGACCGACCTGCAATACGGGCGAATAAACAGGTACACCAGTTTCAAGCATGGTCAAGTTGTCACATTCTCTATCAGCTCCTAAACGAAGCACAACTTCTCCAGACTTAGTTTTAGCATATAGACAAGGATCTGGCAGACGTGCGCTATCAGAAGCTGAAGAACAGGGAACACTCGAACTAGCTTGAACTTCAACAGACTCTAGTGATTTAACAGCAGCACTATGGCGTGTTTTTCTGGAAATGCAACGGTTGATGACCTGTAACTGCTGATATAACAGGCAAGAATTCAGGTCTGGGATATTGTCTGGCGGAATTCCGGGAATATATTGACCTTCGTACCAAAGTCTTCTCAGCTGCAAGGTGAATCATTTGAGTAAATACGTCAAAAAATTCAAGAAGCTAGGAGCAAAGGGTAACAAATCAAAAGGACGGCGACTAATTAACATATTAAGGTCAACCTTTTTAACTAGTTCCACACACTAAGCTGGTAGGAGTTTTTAATTTTCTTTGACTTCTTTATAACTCATACTTCCTCAATCTCTGTTCTTTTCCCTTGCTGTTTTGGACAGGAACTAAGAAAAAACAAGTTGACTATCGTCATAACCTCTTTGTGTCAATTTTCCGGAAGAGACCTTGTGGCGCTAGTATGCTAAAAGTGGTAGCAGTTATATAACTAATCACCTACTTTTAGGATGCAACTGGAAGCAGTTATTCATATTTTCTTGACTCCTTCAATTTATATAGACGAACGTTCCATGGAAACGCATAATTCGGTGAGATGGTCCAGCAATCTATAACTACGGTGTATCATACAAGAAAATCAATAGAAACACCTTGCATAATAAGGGACTGCAACTTATCCACTAAAGCAAATAAAGAGTCGGTCAATCATTCCTAAGTCAGCATACATCAAATATAACTCTAAAATCCACTTACTTCTGCAACAACCCTGGACCAAAATGATGCCATTTTCTGCACTGTTTTTAAGCAACCAACTGCTTCGGCGAGCTTAACTACGAAACTTTCAACAGGTGCGCCACGGATATCCTTAAGTAATGATGTGGCATTTATCTGACCTTCCAAACCAGAAACAGTCCTCCCTGTAAAGGGTCCTTCTGCGAGTACCTTGCCGATATTACACCATAAGTGAAAATCAACATAAAATAATGGAATTTTGAAAATGATAAACTAATCATCCCTCCTACAGCACACGCCCACCCACACAGAAGCATGCGCGAAAATCAAGAGAGGAAAACAAAGAAGACGATGATTTTTGCAGGGTTACCAAATCATCTACCTGCATTTAGCAATGCATTGATTACAGAGAGAACTTTTTCATCAGCACCAAACTCGCTGGCCAACTTATCTTCTTTTTCACGCAGCACTAGTGACTTCATTGCTGAAAAGCTTAAGCTAGCCCTCTCTCTTATGGGTGACGAGCCTCTCGAAGACGCCCGGAGATCCTTCATGGAGTTGTAGTTTAATCCAGCCCTGAGAAGAGGCAAAATATAAAAATAAAATATCAGATTCAGCAGTTACAGCCAATAGATACACGCAATATATTAGGCAAAAGTTTGCAAAGTCGGAAAAGGAGAAATTCCAATGGCTAGTTAGAATCTTACTCGACTGCTACAGCCAACTGTTTCACAATAGAAGATGACGGAATGATATCTGCGTCATTAGCCTTTGAACCTTCCATCAGTACTCCATCTTCTGAATCCTATATGATCCCAAAGATTTTCATTAATCGAAAAAAGAGATTCATAACTTCAGCTATCGCATAAGGAACTATAGCTGAAAATAACATAACTAAATGTAAGAAATCAAACTAACCTTTGAATGAGAGTATTCTCTCTCATCCAACATATATAAATTATCATCAAAAAGTGCATATGCCATTGTTGAATCGGATTTCTCAGAATCCTTACTCCCTCTTTTGCCTAATCTTATGTTTCTTAATCTCTCATGCCAATCTTGCTTGGTTTTAATTGGCTTTGGCCTTCCTCTCTTATTCTTTGCTTCGTGGAAATTCTGCAATCCAAGCACAAATGAATTTCATCCAAATAATTTACCAACCAATTCTGAAACTCAACCGCATTTACATATAGTCATATACACAGGCATAACCTATCTCCGGCAACATTACAAATGAAAATTTTAACATTAGATATTTCCCGATGCAGTCCCTCGTGCATAGACAAGATAAAATAACTCAAATTTTCCCACAAGTGACAGGAAACATAAACTAAAAACAATGAAATGAAACAAAACCGCATCAAAATCTCAATATTCATTCATAACTCAAACATGAAAATTCATCAAAAAAAAAAAAAATATTGAAATGAAATCAACATCACCTTGTTTTTTTTTCTATTTACCCGAATTGAGGCTCAAACATCATTCAAAATGAAAACAATCGAAACATCAGAATTCGAAAACTGAATCTAATAGAGAAGTGCATTTTCATACCTTCGACTCTTCCGCATCTTTAGGTGACTCCGGAGTTGACGCGCTCGGCGATTGTTGATCCAAATCTTCAAATTTGAACGAAAATCCAGACAACAACAAAATAAACGGATAAAATTACGGTGAATCCTAAAAATAGTAAACAAAACCAAACAAACGAAATTTAATCACATATATAAAAATAGCAAAAAGCGTCCGGAAATTAAGAGAGAGAAAGTACTCTCCCTCTCTCTCTCCTGTTTGCGTACCGCGATGGGCGATGGAATCAGATTTTTTGATGTCTGTGAACACTTTCTCGGCTTTAGCGGCGGCGGAATTGATGGCCGTCCTAGCTCTAGATACGAAGGACGCCTCCATTTTTTTGTTCTCCGGCGGCTCCGATTGAGCAGTGGATACGCCGTCGTTTCGCTAGATTGACGACGCCATTTTCGAAGAGTGCGGGAACATTAGATTGGACGAATTGAGGAAATCGAAGGTGCTGAACTGCTGATGACTGAAGTACACCACGGTTCCACACTCAACAAAGGACTTGTTGGAAAACGGAAACAAATTTATGATTATCAAAATATAAATATAGTAATGTAAATTTGACTTTTTTAATATATAAAATGCAATTTTGTTTTTATTTTTTATTTTTCTTCTATACAATTAATGAAATTAAGACATTAAATTGCACAAATATAACTTGCACCAAAAGGCAAATCCCTCGCCCCAAGGGCCTCCATCCCTTGGCCCGACAAGGATTGATGGAGTATGTAAATCATGGTAACTCAACGGCCCGTTAAGGTAGCGGACCCATGGTAACTCAACGGCCCCTTGGCACGACAAGGATTGATGGAGTATGTAAATCATGGTAACTCAACGGCCCGTTAAGGTAGCGGACCCATGGTAACTCAACGGCCCGTTAAGGTAGCGGACCCGGACCTGGTGCCCACAAGGAACCAACCCTCATTTGGAGTTGAAATTCCCACACTGCGGCTGCTAGGATTCGATCCTAGGACCTTGCACCAACTTACCACCTCCGGAACCAGTTGAACTACACCCATGCGGGCACACAAATATAACTTTTTTTGTAAACGAAGGGATTCATCAAGCAATTATATTTTCGATAAGAAAATTATTTTGATTTATATGCTATAGAGATCGATATTTGTTAGGACAGTAGTATTCTGTAACTATAGTTATTTTGTAGATACCTATTCTAGCTATTAAAAGTAGAATACATAACACAAAAGAAAAATACCGTGTGGTTTGGTCATAAAAGTGACATACATCAACGAGGATATGTATACAAGATTTTACTAGTTTAGGTTTGTTGTTTGTTGCAATGCCAAATATTTATAGCGAACAATATAAAGAAGAATTGTCTTTCATCATCTCTTATGAATTCTCTTATACCTGCAGGATCAGTGTTTCTTATACAAGCACTATGCATCGATGTTAATCTTGAATCAGTTTTGAGGAGATGTGAGCCATTGTATCCTGTGTTTTGATGATGCACCACATTGTTGGCTCGAGGAGAATGGTAACTCGAAACCTGTATCATATACTCTTAAGTAAAATATCAAAATTGGCACAATAATACAATTCTTTTTTGGAATGATTTAATTGTAATAGATGTTACTGTTTTTTCACAAATGATGGGAGAACTTACATATTTCCTTTTCAAGTTCAAGTGACACAATAAATAAATTTATTTAGCAGTATGAAATAAATGGCATTGTGGCTGAATATTCTTGATTTGTACATTTAGTCAAGTAAGATTTGCTATCACGTGTTACCATCAGGCGGGGATAGCTCAGTTGGGAGAGCGTCAGACTGAAGATCTGAAGGTCGCGTGTTCGATCCACGCTCACCGCATAATGCTTTTTCCAGTTTTGTCCCTCATAATGTTGTTTACAACTTTTATAATTTAAATAGACACAACAACATCAGCGGGGATAGCTCAGTTGGGAGAGCGTCAGACTGAAGATCTGAAGGTCGCGTGTTCGATCCACGCTCACCGCATAATTTTTTTTGCCATATGCAGTCTAGAAGAGGTTGTTTTATCAGTCGAAATCCTGCGATTACCGGACAAGAATCGAACTAATCACATCAGATAGATAATAACTTATCGCGTGTGTAAAATTTGTAATATTATAACAACTTCATTGTTAGATATAACAAGTGTTTGTCCTGGAAAACAAATAATAGTCCAATAGCTTCAATAGTCCGATTGTCCGATAGCGCACGCACAACATCAAAAATCTTATCAGACTAATATGCTCAAACGCTCCCTCACAATCTTCTTGAATCTTTCTTCGGTTCTTCCCTTATACACCAAGAATTGCAAACGAGAGCAAAGCACCAAAACTTCGTAATGATTCAAATGTTTGAGTGTCTCCGGAGATCTGTCGTAATCCTGTGAATTAAAAAAAAAACCAAACAAATCAGTGTTTGGATAACTTAATAGGAAATTATTCCTTGCATCAGAAAAGTTAACAAGTACTTCTAATGTGATCTAAGTAAAAAAAAATCGAAATTAAATGTACGAGAGAAAAAGGGATGGCAAGGTATCAAACTATTAAAGAATCTGCTTACCTTTTCAGTTATTACAACGATTGGCTTGGTGCCAAACTCGGATTCGAGCGCTTGAAGTCTTGCTCGAACCATTTCAATTTCCTAGGTTTTTGTACAAAAATATCAAAGTCAATCTGTATAGTCTTTGATACAACACGTAACAACTTAACATTCCAAAAAAAGCAAATTCAGAAAATACAAAACGTTAAATAAGAGGAATTATGGCGGAGAAACCTTAAAAGGAGACATGTGTACCTTAAATTGAAACAAATGGTGGTCACTGAAGTCTATGTGATCCACATATGCTGCTCCCATCTACAAAGGGTTAACACTTTGAATACTAGAATAATATTATACATAATTACGCTCCAATTAACAACACAAATTTAAGAGGGGTACCCTTTCGATTGTTTGAATGAAGGAATCAGCAAAACCGATGCCCGAAAGGCATAACACAGTCATATTATCTACAGCTCTCAGCGACATTTTACACGAAATATCTCGACATGGAAAGAAGTGAATCGGAGCCATTTTAGTCAAGAAAATAGGAAGATTTCTTTCGGCTTTTCGAATTGTTGATTCTAAGGCTTCGATATCCTTTTCCTGTACCTGTATGACATAGGTGCATCAAGCATTACTATGAAATACATTATTTTTTTTTATAAATAAAATACAAAATATTCAAATACCAAGTCTGCGTGATGGATGACTATAATATCAGCTCGATTGAGTGCAGTAAAAGGCTCCCTCAGCGGTCCAAGTGGAAGTAAGTGACGGTTTCCCCACGGCATCAGTGCATTCACCATCACAATCTCGAGATCACGCAATATACGTAAATGCTGCCTTCCATATATTAAATCAACATTTCAAATAAACGACCAAAAATCGAAACCCTACTTTAGTTAACTACCTTGCATAAAAGAAAATACTATAAATGCCAAGTTAGAACATACAATGAGATCGCAACATAGTTTCCATACATATTTTACCCGAATCTCGATAACTAACAAAAAGGACCTCATTATTCAACAAAATAATTGTATAAAATCAGAAAAAGATAAAATATTCTCGATATAAGATTAGTTTGAGAAGAATTTAGTACTACCTGCATACCATCGTCGAGTATAGCAGCCCCAATTTGACCGGAATTTGGGTGGAATTTTCGGGTTCCCTTCAGAAAAGGGGGTTTCTCAGAAGTAGCATCAAAATTTACGTAACCATACTGTTTTAGGAATTTAGCGGCAGTAGCTACTCGATTTGCACCTACACCGATTTTTGCAGATGTACATTGAAGTTGTCTCTGAAGCATTTTAGCTTCATCTGCACCGCCATAACCCTGAAAACAAAGAGCGTTATTCTAAAACGACACCTTCGATTAACACAACATTACTTCGGTTATAGAAATATTTCGTAAAATTTACATAAATCAAAGATGATCCAATCTCTTCACTGCGTAGTACATAAAATGAAGAGCAGTATTTTCATTTCACACATATTTGAAAATTCTTAATGGATCTGAACAAATTGTTGACATAGAATTTAAACATAAATTAACTGGTAATCAAGTTAATTTGTTGTTCTCTCTCTCTCTCTCTCTCTCTCTCTCTCTCTCTCTCTCTCTCTCTCTCTCTCTCTCTCTCTCTCACACACACACACACACACACACAGAGACACACACACACACACAGAGACCTAATTAATTAGTTGTTCATGCACACATAAACACAAATGGTAACCAAGTTATGCAAACACTAATTGCAATTAATTGAAGGTATAATGAATTTACCCTAGTAAGAATGAGCGGCGAAATTCCATCGTCGGCGAACGAGCGCGCCAGAAATTCCACCATCGGAGTTTTCCCATTGCCTCCCCACGTCAAATTCCCGACACTAATCACCGGCACCGGCAACCTAAACCCTTATTACAACATAAATTCAACCACATGATCCATGAAAGAGGGATAATCGATGGTTCAAGTGAAATTACCGGTGTTTATGGAGGATGTTGAATCGGTAGAGCAGGTGGCGGCAGAGGAGAGAGAAGGCGTAGAGAGAGGAAGAGAGAGAAAGGACTGGGATTAGAGAGAGATGCAGAGGAGAGAGAGTGGAGAGCCATTGAGAGCGTTGGGTGTAGGCTATTTGCTTCACTGCGCTTCTCACTCTCTCCATTGAAGACGACAGATAAATTATTTGATTTATTATTATTATTATTATTATTATTATTATTATTATTATTATTATTAGGGGCTTTAAGATATAGGTCCCTAGTGGCAAAATTAATTAGAACTAAATGATAAGTCTAACTAAACATTTGCTTCACATCCTTTATATATTTTATTCCAAAAATGCCCCCACATACAAAAAATGAAATATACACCAAATGATATTTAAACTGCATTTATAATTTTTTTCATTCTGCATTTAACATTTTTATTTTTGCATCTAGCATTTTTTTTATTATTTTTTTTGTAGAACAATTTTTTTTTTTTTTTTTGCATTTTCGTATTTTTTCCTTTTTTTTTTACATAATATTGCAAATTGTGATTTTTTAATTTTTTTTTTCAGTTTTAGTCTTCTATATAAACCCGTAGGAAACCATAGTAGTCCGTAGTCATGTATAGACACTCATAGGAAACTATAGTAATCCATAGTCACGTTTTCTCAAAACCCTAATTCCTCTTTTGAACCCTAGCCGTCAAACACCATAGACACCCATAGATACTCATAGAAATCTATAGACATAAAGTCGAAAAAACCTAGATCTACCCCACCAAACCGTAGATCTCCTCCACCAAACCCTAGATCTGTTACGCCAACATCACCACGCCGCTAAAAATGCCACAAAACACCACCCACGCTGTCATAACCGCCCACAACGTCGAGCACCACCGACACCATCCCCAGCCCCCGAGCGCCGCCCCCCGCCGCCGCCCTCATGACCAACGCCGACCCAGAGCCGCCGCCGCCATCACCATCCATCCCCCATGCCACCGTCTCCAACATCATAGTCGCACAACGTCGAGCCCCACCGACACCATCCCCAGCCCCCGAGCGCCGCCCCCCACCGCTGCCCTCCTGACGAACGCCGCTCACCGCCACCGCCGCCCCAGAGCCGCGGCCCGCCATCACCATCCGTCTCCCCATGCCACCGCCTCCAACATCATAGTCGATTCCATCATCACAACCACCACCCCCTCTCAAATCATGACATGGAGTGTGGCGAGAAAGATATCTTGAGATTGAGAGAAATAAATCGAGAGAGCGAGACAGAGAAAGCCAGATAGAGAGAGAGCGAGACAGAAAGAACGAGAGAAAGAAGAAGAACAAGGAGGCAAATAGATCTGAGAAGAAACGTGATTATGTTGGTTATAAGATTTAGGGTGTAAGGGCAAGATAGGGATTAAAAAAAATGAAGGATGTGGGTCATATAAATTTTCAATCTATGGATCGGATCATAAAATTAGATTTAGACTTGTCATTTAGTTCAAATGGGGTTTCGTATGAGGGACTCCTAGCATATTATGCAA